TAAATGTTGCCTTTTTTATTTCAAATGGTTGATTATTCTATGGTGTGCGTACCTAGTTTTACTGCTCATCTTAGAAACCTATTGTTTGGCTGGAAATGGAGCCATAGGGGTGAGTTCATTTCCAGACCTGAAGGGTGCTACGGGCCACAACCTCAGGGATTCCACCTGTCTCTGACCAGTGAGCCTGGTCTCTTTTATAATTTTCTACAACTTCTCCCCATCTCTTCAGAACCTTTCAGAGCAGCTGATAATGGTAGCCCACCATCAAGTTCTTCTGCTTATGTTCATGTGGTTCATTAGTCCATTGGACTAATTGTTTCCGTATGTCTTCAATTTTTATCATGTTTTTCTCTGGACAGGGAGAGGCCAATAGTTGCATCTTAGATGGTCACTCATGAGCTTTTAACACTCCAGTTGCTACTTACCCCAAAGTAGGATACAGAATGTTGTCTTTGTGAGCTATGTTATGCCAATGGACCGTGGTGTCCCCTAAGATTATGGTCCTGAGCTCCCAGGCCTAGCAACTCCTTCCTTCAAAGTGTTGGTTATATCTAAGTTTTCATAACTTTGCCCCTGTATGCTCTACAACATAAAGATTTTTTTTCTAATCACCACCAGTTCACAACTTGATTCTTTCCACAAAAGACTGATAATCTACTTTCAGAAATTGTTGTTAAGTACAGTGGAGTTGGTTCCAACTCAGTGACCCTGTATAGGGTAGAAATGAGCAGCTGGTAAGTTTGAGCCGTAGATGTAAATCAATAAGCACCAATTAAAGACTAATTAATGGTTTTCTCTATGAAACAATCATATAAAAATAATTTTAATAAGAAGTTTATACTGACCTGGTGCGACCACATTCACTCTAATTTTCTTTCTTGCTACCTCTTTAGCAAGAGCACGTGAAAATCCAACTAATCCTCCTTTACTGGCGCTATAGACAGACTGGCCAGAGTTGCCTTTTAAACCAACAATACTTCCTGGAGGGGGAAGCAAAATGCAAACAAATTCATGAGCTTATTTGAAAACTTAGATAAATATAGATATAAGTTTAGTATAAAACTTTTACCAAACAAACAAACAAAAAAATAGTCTACTTTGTTTTTTGCTAAAATCAGAAATACTAACCATTGTCATCTGAATTATAAGACTATACAATCCGAAGTCTGTTTCAGTTATACACAGAAAACATAATCTGAAAAAGGTTGATGTAAAACTTCAGAAGCTAGGCAGAGGACATGAGATTTGACCCTTTCAGTGAAAGCCCAATGTCAAGTGCCGTGGAGCTGTATTCAACTCCCAGTGACCCTGTATATCAAGATGAAACAATGCCCAGTCCTATGCCATCCTCACAATCATTGCTATGCTGGAGCACAGTGTTGTAGCCACTGTGAGAATCTTCCTCTTTTTTGCTGACTTTCTACTTTACCAAGCATGTCCTTCTCCAAGTACTGGTCCCTCCTAATAACGTGTCCAAGGTAATGAGATGAAGTCTGCCATCCTCTCTGCTAAGTAGCATTCAGCTGTACTTTTTAGGTTTTTCAAATAAGTTTTTATTGTGAGGTTTACATGGAAGAATATCAGTTTTACATTCATCCTATCGCATTTCGTTTCATTGCAATGATTACAATCCCCTCCATACATCATCAAATAACCAAAGGGCACACCACACAGGCCTGCCCCCTGGCCATCAGCACACAGCCCGTCTCCCTCCCTGAATTCAGTGTCCTCAGCCCCTCCATCTGTCCAAGTCATCGTCTCTGTCTCCGTCCCTGACGTCTCTACCTCTCTGGGTAGGGTCCTGCTCTCTGCTCTTCTCACTTGATGCTCCCAGGGACCTCCACTTCTGGGCTTCAAAATCAATCATTCCCCTCCTTTTGTCAAAAAACATCTACCTCTATATTTCCTGCCCTTACAGTCAGTCCTGAGGGCAATTATTTACTATTGTACCACAAGAGTCTTATCCCCATTTCCTTTTGCCAGCCAGGTCCCAAAAGATTGGAAATCATTCAGTGGAGAGTCTACCTTCCCCCGCCCCGTCTGGAACTAGGCTCCCTCTTGAAAGCTTGTAAGCCAGTCACTTCCTGCCTTTATAGGCACCCCCATTTTGGGTAGCCAATGTCTAAGTTGCCTATCCCTGTCAACCCTGTGTACCGAGGGGGTGGGAGTGATCCTTGCTGTAAAGATTTGTTCCCTTTTTTGAGCTATTACATCCATAAGTGTAGGTAAAGTAAATCAAATTGTAGCAAGTTACTCTCCACCCCCCCTTCGTTTTTCTTGTTGTAGAGTGCTGATCATCCAGCCATCGAAGTCAGGTCAAGTGGGTACTATCTGCAAGTATGGGTGTTCTTGTGCCTCTCCCCTTAATTCATATCAGCTGGATGCTTTACTCTCCACTCTAGTCCTCTGTGACTATGTCACTGCCTCTGGGCCCCAGGTCTTGCCATACTGTTGGCCATCCAGGTCTCCACCCAGGTTCATGGGGTCTATTGAATATGATCGGACTTAGCTTGCAACTTCATTGCTGTTTTTTCTCCCTCTTCCCCTTATCAGTGACGAGCGTGGTCAGCAGCCAGACCACCTGCCTGCTAATGTATTCCCCTTGAGCATTAGTCTTAGAAGGGAGTTTGCTCTGAGGGGTCCAAACTACTTGCCTTGATGGCTCCCAGGTGAACTCAGCTGTACTTCTTACACAAGATAGATGAAATCCATATTGAAGTCTATTGTTTTTGATGTTCATCATTACCTTTCCATTCCATTTTTCCATGGACGTTTTGAAGCCCTCTCATAACATGCTTGTATGAACACAATTAAGTGTACTGAAATTCCCATTCTTCTCTAATGTAACAACAGTTGTGAGGATGGTGCAGGACTGGGAAGTCTTTCATTCTGTTGTGGATAAAGTCACTGAGTCAGAACCAACTCGACAGTGCCCAGGCCAAGTCCTCTTTTGAATCCATCTTGAATTTTTAGCAGTTCCCTGACAGTGTAAAGCTGTAACCATTTTTAAATTATCTTGGCAAATTTTTACTTGCATATGAGATTGTTTGATAGTTTCCACATTCCGTTGGATCACCTTTCTTTGGAATAGACACACATATAGATCTTTTCCAGTCAGTTGGTTGGTTAGCTGCCTTCCAAAATTCTAGGCAAGAATGACTGTAAAGAGATCCACTGGATTATGTTGTTAAGTGCCGTCGAGTTGGTTCTGATGCACAGCGACCCTGAACAGCATTTCTGAGGAGCGGCTAGTGATCTAAACCACTGATCTTGGTTCAACCCAACCTTGCGGTACAGTGCATTATCTTGCAGCGCCACGCCAGGACTCTACTTTAATCTGAGGAGGTCAGAAACCACTGACATCATGTCGATTCCAACTCAGATCAACCCCTATGTAGGGTTTTCTAGTCCGTAAATCTTTACAGGAACAGACAGCCTCATCTTTCTCCCAAGAAGCAGCTGGTAGGTTTGAACTGGCAACCTTCAGACTCATAGCGCCACACCAGGACTCCATAGTGCCAGATAGGATAAAAATTCTGTAATATTTATAAAGATTTCCAGAAGGAAGTGATTAAGAACCAGAAAAGGCATATAAAAGTTAAATAACTTTAATGATTCTACAACACAGACATAAGGAAACATTCACTTCTACTTTAAAAAAAAAAAAATTAAACTTGAAATGCTGTCAATATAAATTAGCAAAGCTTCAATTATAAAACCTTTTTATAAAGCTGCAATTCAATTACTTTCAGTAATGCAATTTATATTGTCTAATAAACATACTTGGATGATCTTATTTAATAAATATGTTAAAGGATTATTTGGGAGAAAGAGAAATATCGACAGAACAAGTAAACCAATTTATAAAAGAAAGTAAAAATAGACAGAACAAGTAAACCAATTATAAAAGAAAAGCCGAGTAGGAATCTTTATTAGCTTCTGATTTATGCCACACATTATTTTTACATCTGGTCAAAAGTTACTAAAGTAAGGGATAGCTTCTGAAATATCAATGAACTTGCTAGCAGTTTAAGGTAGTCCTTTACATAGGTATAGATTTTCAATATCTGTTTTTATTTTGAAGGAGTCATGGTGGCACAGTGGGTTAAGCATTGGGCTGCTAACTGCCAGGTCAGTAGTTCAGACCCACCAGAAAGATGAGGTTGTCTGTTCCTATATAGATTTAGTCTCAGAATCCCTCAAAAACAATTCTACTCTGTCCTATGTGTTGCTATAAGGCAAGGTCAACTGCATGGCTGTGGGTTTGTTTATTTGCTTTCTTGGCTAACTTTTATTTCTATCAGGATTTAAAAAAATGTATATGTATATGAAACTTCACATACATATGATGGAGTGACTTGGTTTTTATGGGATTTTGATTTGTTTGCCTCAAATGAGGATATCGTAGTGTTAAAGAATATACTCCATCTTACTATGTGATATACAGAGGCCAATGTGCCAATTTATAAGAACCCAAAGTCAAAGCCATTATCTGACATGGTCAAAAGACAAGTTTACTTATTTACGTAACTTTTTTATAAGTAGAAAACTGACTCCTTATGTTTTTTCAAGAGTAACTGTCAAAAAATGTTCTTTAAAAATTCCTCCTTAGTTTATTATCACAGTAATTTTTCCTTTTCTTATTTTCAAAAGAGAAAAACCTTAAATTCTGGCTTGAAACACCATTTCCAATACTAAAAGGAATAGGCCATTTATTTTAATAGAACAGCATCCCCCTTTTGTGGTCTTCTAAGGTATTACCACTTGAAATTTAAAAGGCAGATAATCTACCATTGTTTTCAAATGACCAAATTCAAATAAAATTTCAAGTTGTTTTGCATTTGTAGAAGGCAAAAACTTGTAGGCACATAGTAACTAATTGATCTCCCCAAGGGTAAAATGACATGAAGCCAGGGGTTAAAAAAACTAAAAAAAAAAAAAAAAAAAATTATTTTCTTAAGTATTTTTTATTCAAATTTTAAGGAGGAAGAGTAAAAATATACAAAGAAAAGGATACACCATTTAAACCAATTCTACATGGGCAATTCACTTAGACTGTTTACATTCCTGAAGTTGTTGTTAGGTGCTGTCGATGGGTTTTGACTCACAGTGACCCTATGCACATCCGAACAAAACACTGCCCAGTCCTGTGCCAACTTCACAAATGTGGTTACGCTGGAGCCCATTGTTGCTGCCACTGTGTCAATCCATCTTATTGGAGGTCTTCTTCTCTTTCGCTCACCCTCCCTCCCCTTTGCAAGCATGATGTCCTTCTCTAGGGACTGACCCCTACTGATAATATATACAAAGCACAAGAGACAAAGTCTCACCATCCTCGCTTCTAAGGAGCATTCTGGTTGTACTTCTTCCAACACAGAAATCTTTGTTCTTCTTGCAGTCCATGGTACCTTCAATATTATTATCCAACAGTTTAACTCAAATGCATTCATTGTCCAACTTTCACATGCATATGAGGCCATTGAAAATACCATGGCTTGGGCCAGGCATGCCTTAGTCCTCAAATTGATATCTTTGCTTTTTAAAACTTTAAAGAGGTCCTTTGTAGCAGATTTGCCTAATGCAAATTTGATTTCTTGTCATTTGATTTCTTGACTCTACCTACTTTCATAAGTATTGACTGTGGATTCAAGCAAAATGTCTTTAATAACATCAGTCTTTCTCCAAGTATCATGATGTTATTTATTGGTCCAGTTGTGAGAATTTTTGCTTTCTTTATATTGAGGTGCAATCTGAACTGAAGGCTGTGGTCTTTGACCTTATCAGTAAGTATTTTAAGTCCTCTTCACTTTTCAGCAAGCAAGGGTCTATCAGTTGCATATAGCAGGTTGTTGATGCCTTCCTCCTATCCTGTTAGCATTTTCTTCTTCATATGATCCAGTTTCTGAGATCATTTGCTCAACATAAACATTGAATAAGTATGATGAAAGGATACAACTCTGGCATACACGTTTCCTGAATTTAAACTATTCATTATTCCCTTGTTCTGTTCTAATGCCTGCCTCTTGGCCTAAGTACAGGTTCCTCATGAACACAATTAAGTGTTGTTGAATTCCCATTCTTCGCTATGTTATCCATAGTCTGTTATGATCCACACAGTCAAAAGCCTCTACACAGACAATAAAACACAAGTAAATAGCTTTCTGGTATTCTCTGCTTTCAGCCAAGATCTAATATCAGCAATGATATCCCTGCTTCCTCATCTTCTTCTGAACCTGGCTTAAATTTCTAGTAATTCCCTGTAGATATAGTATTGCAACCATTTTTTAATTCTCTTCAGCAAAATTTTACTTACATGTGATATTAATGATATTGTTCAATGATTTCTGAATTCTGTTGCATCATCTTTCTTTGGAATGGGTATATATATGTAATGTTGTTGTAGTTAAGTGCCATAGAGTCAATTCTGACTCATACTGACCCTTCATAGGGTTTCTGAGGAGCAGCTGGTGGATTTGAACTGCTGACCTTGTGGTTCGCAGCCCAGTGCTGATCCTACAGTGCCGCACCAGAAGATCCAAATATGTAATACAAAGATACAAAAAAGATAATACAAAGATAAATTTAATCCCAGTTTTACATATAAATCCTAAATTAGTGGGTTACATATTTGTAGAGTACTATGTATGGTGTGGTGTTGTAGGACCAACACTGGGCTGTGATCTACAAGGTTGGCAGTTCAAACCCATCCAACCCATCCAGAGATACCTTGGAAGAAAGGTACAGAGAGCTGCTGTAGAAACACCGACACCTTGAAAACCCCAAAGGCACAGTTCTATCATGATACACAAGAGGTCACCAAAACTGACTCACCAGCAACTAGCAACAACAGCATAAAATAATTCACAAAGGTGCAGACTCACCTACATTAACAATAGACCCTCCTTGTTGCTGAATCATAGTCTTCACAGCCGCTTTACATGTCAGCATGGAACCCAAGAGGTTAGTGTGAAGCTGAGATATCATATCTTCAGTTTTAGTTCTTACCAAAAGGCTATCCCTAAAGACAAACCCAAAACACCTACTATGTAAATTAAAAACTGGATAAGACAAACAAAAAATTCCAAACCCATAATAACATTCCACTTCAAGTAGGGTGTAAGAAGTGCTTCATATAGGAGGTTGTTGTTGTTGTTAAGTGCCGTTGAGTTGGTTCTGACTCATAGAGACCTTGTATAGATAGGGCTTCCAAGGAGTGACTGGTGAGCTTGAACTGCCAACCTTGCGGTTCAAACCAACTTTAGAGTCTAGCGCATTAATCCACAGTACCACACCAGGCCTCCATATATGAGATCAAATACCTCAAATTAGAGTCCCAATTTGAATTTAGCTCAAGAGACACTAAAATAACGAGGAGCCAGTAAGGATTCACTTGGAAGTCAGGTCTTAATCTCTTATTTAGAGTGACAACATGATAAAAGTAGTTTTACGTAGGCAAAACAGCATGTTAAGTGCACTTAACGTACTTTGACAAAAATATCAATGTTATTCTAACTTTTCTGTCCTTAGTTCATCTTTAAAAGTTGTATCCACTCTATGATTCCATTTGTATGAACTTATGAACTAGAAAAATTACAATGACAGAAATCAGAATAGTGGTTACCTTTCAGGATATATTTCAAAATCTATCTTGAAATACAAAGCTGCTGTGATAGTATAATATCCATATGCTTACAAGAAAGGCCAGTTAATATGATTATTATTCAAATTTATACACCAACCACTAATGCCAGAGATGAAGAAACTGAAGATTTTTACCAACTTGTGTATTCTGAAATTGAGCAAACATGCAATCAAGATGCAATGATAATTATTGGTGATTAAACTACAAAAGCTGAAAACAGAGAAGGAGGATCAGAGTTGGAAAACACTGCCTTGTTGATATAAACGACATCAGAGATCACATGATAGAATTTTGTAAGACCAAAGAACTATTATTGGAAATACTTTTTTTTTTTCAACATTAACAGTGACTATAGAAGTAGACCTCACCATATGGAATACACAGGAATCAAACAGACTATGTCTATGGGAAGAGAAGACTGAGAAGCTTAATATCATCTGTCAGTGCAAGGCCAACTGCCATGACCGACAATTGGCTATTCTCCGCAACCGGCGCGGAGAGATTAAACTTGAGTTGGATTTGACTACATGGCATATAACCACTACCACATTCAATCTGTATGGTAAGCATGGCAACAGAATTGAAGGAAGATTCATTAACAACCTGTAATATGCAGAAGACACAACCTTACTCACTGAAAGTGAAGATGACTTAAAACATTTAGTGATAAATATCAAAGACTATAGCATTCAATGGAGTCCTGGTGTGGCGCTGTGGGCTAATGCATCAGACTACAAAGTCATCTGAACTGCAAGGTCGGTGGTTCAAGCTCACCAGCTGTTTCTTGGAAACCCTACACGGGTCACTATGGGTCGGAACTGACTCATGACACTTAACAACAACAACAAATAGCATTCAATATAGATTACATCTCAGCATTAATAGGCGTTACGAGTCTGAACTGACTTGATGGAACTTAAAAACAAGAAGAAAATAAAAATCCTCACAGCTAAACCAATAAGAAATACCATAATAAATGGAGAAAAGATTTAAATTGTCAAGGATTTCATTTTACTTAGATCTACAATCAATGTCCATGAAAGCAGAAGCCAGAAAAATCAAACAGTATCTTGCATTGAAAGAATCTGCTACAAGAGACCTCTTTAAGGAGTTCAAAAACAAAGAAGTAGTCACTTTGAGGACTAAGGTGTATGTGGCCCAAGCCCTGGTATTCTCAGTTGCCTCATATGCATGTGAAAGCTGGACAGTGAATATGAAAGATAGAGGAACTGATGTCTTTGAATTATGGTATTGGCAAAGAATACTGAATATACAATGAACTTCAGTTGAATGAACAAATATGTCTTAGAAGATAATATAGCTAGGATGCTTTTTAGACACAAGCTGGGTGAGACTTCATCATATATACTTTGGACATTTTATCAAAAGGGACCAGTCCTTGGAGAAAGATATCATGTCAGGCAAAGAAGAGGACCAGCGAAAAAAAGAAGACCCTCAACTATATGAATTGACACAGTGGCTGCAACAACTGGCTCAAACATAGCAATGACTTTGAAGATAGCACAGGATTGGGCACTGTTTTGTTCTGCTGTACATAGAGTTGCTATGAGTCAAAAACCAAGTAGAGGATATCTTATACCAACAGCAATAAAAGGAGGAAAGGTGTGGCGGTTTGCTTCCAAATGGTCACAGCCTCAAAACTCTATGAAAAGAACTTTTACTCAGTAATACATGGGTTGCTATGAGTTGGAATCTATTTGATATATCAGTATGAGGAAGAATTAACTGGAAAAAAAAAAAACAGATAACATTCTACAGTGCTGGAAAAGTTCTAAAGCTCAGTGTGGATGGTGATTACATTATTAAAATTGATTGACGTGTACATGTTCAATATTAAGAGTGTCTGGATTGGCAGTTGGGGTGCAGTGAATTATTGAATGTTTCTTCTAGTCGGCCTTTGTAAACTCTCACCAAATGACTTTTCCTGATGAGTCTGTTGAAAAGGCTGATTATATGATGCAGTTGGGAATGACTGTTAACAGGGCTAATTACGATTTGTCAATTTTGCCTTCAGACTGGTATAAAATGAACTATCTCCAAAGCAGAAGGGGGAATTTCATTACTAATAAGGCAAAGTTACAAGTGGAGTGCCTCCTTTGGGCCCTGAGAGCTCTGCGCATTGAATCGCCATGACTCGGAGACAGAATGCTGTGACAACAGCAGACCCAGGAGTCAGAGTATGAGACAGAGCAGTGGACTTCCCAGCCCACAAAGCAAGTTTAGCCTTTGGGCAGGAGGCTCATTTGGAAAGTGGAAGTACTTCTAGGCATTGAACTGGGGAGCTAGGTTTGCTGACCCATGGAGCTAGAGCCCAGCACCTTCAGGCTGAAGCCTTCAGGTTTATGGTAGCAAGGTGTGCTCTGCAAGCATTTATCAGCAGCCTCCCTAAATGTGAATCCCAGCATTATGAAGGTCATCAATGAAAAATTCGGGACAAATGTGAAGACACTAATGATGGGAATACATGGACTACAGAACATTTTGAAAACCACACAAACAAAAATAGACAAAATAGATGAGTGGGACATACTAAAAATTAAAAACTTATGTATATCAAAAG